AAAACTCTTCGGAAGTGTAAGGGGCGAGCGAAGACGAGGCGGCGGCGCGGGTGCGACTCCGCGTCCCCGGGAGTGCTGCGGGGCCATGGGGGCCGGGGTAGGCTCCGGGCGGGGGCAGCTCTTCCTCCGCTCCCTCCTCTTCCTCCTGCTGGCCGGGCCCCCGGCGGGCGGGCAGCTGCGCTACGCCGTGCCCGAGGAGCTGGAGCACGGAGCCTTCGTGGCCAACCTGGGCGAGGACCTGGGGCTGGACGTGTCCACCCTGTCAGCGCGGCGGTTCCGCATCGTGTCACGGGCCGGGGCCAGGCAGCACCTGGAGGTGAACCTGGAGAACGGGATCCTCTTCGTGAACGAGCGGATTGACCGGGAGGAGGTGTGCGAGGCCGGGGGGACCTGCCTGCTCCACCTACAGCTCCTCGTCGAAAGCCCGCTGGAGCTCTACCGCGTCGAGGTGGAGGTGCTGGACATCAACGACCACGCGCCCACCTTCCCCTGGCAAGAGTACGTGCTGGAGGTGGCCGAGTCCGCCGTGCTCGGTGCCCGCTTCCCGCTGGAGAGCGCCCAGGATCCCGACGTGGGCACCAACTCCGTGCACACCTACCGCCTCAGCCCCAACGGCTTCTTCTCCCTCGAGGTGCAGACGCGCAGCGACGCCAGCAAGTTTGCGGAGCTGGTGCTGGAGCGTGCCCTGGACCGGGAGCAGCAGCGCCTGCACCGGGTGCTGCTCACGGCTCTCGACGGCGGCATCCCCGAGCGCTCGGGCACCGCGCACATCCTCGTCACCGTGCTGGACGCCAACGACAACGTGCCTGCCTTCGACCAGCCCTCGTACGGCGTGAGCCTTCCTGAGGATGCCCCCGCCGGCACACTGGTCATCCAGCTCAACGCCACGGACCTGGACGAGGGCCCCAACGGGGAGATCGAGTACTCCTTCAGTGGGCACGCGCCGCCACGCGTGCGGGAGCTCTTCCACATAGAGCCCCGCAGCGGGCAGGTGCTGCTGAAGGGCCGCCTGGACTATGAGCGGGCCAGTCTCCACGAGCTCTACGTGCAAGCCAAGGACCGTGGACCCTCAGCCGTGGCCGTTCACTGCCGAGTGCTCGTGCACCTCCTCGACGTCAATGACAACGCGCCAGAGGTGACCCTCACCTCTGTGTCCACACCCGTGCTGGAGGATGCCCCCCCAGGCACCGTCATCGCTGTCATCAGCGTTCTGGACCGGGATTCTGGGGACAACGGGCGCGTGAGCTGCGAGGTTGGCCCCAACGTACCCTTCGAGCTCCGCTCCTCCTTCCGCAACTACTACACTCTGGTCACCACGCAGGCGCTGGACCGGGAGGTTGTACCCGAGTACAACGTGAGCATCACGGCGCGGGACATGGGCTCGCCCGCCCTGCTGACCCGCAGCACCCTCACCGTCCCGGTGTCTGACGTGAACGACAATGCCCCACGCTTCCTCCAGCCCTCCTACAGCGTCTACGTGATGGAGAACAACGCGCCGGGTGCCTCCATCTGCTCTGTCAGCGCACTGGACCCTGACTGCCAACAGAACGCCTACCTGTCCTACTCCATTGCCGATGGGCACATCCACGGCATGCCTGTGGGCACCTACGTGTCTATCAACTCGGACAGCGGGCACATGTATGCCCTGCGGTCCTTGGACTATGAGCAGATCCGCAGCTTCCAGATCCAGGTGCAAGCACAGGACGCGGGTTTCCCCCCACTGAGCGCCAACGTCACCGTCCACATCTTCGTGCTGGATCAGAACGACAACGCTCCGGTCATCGTTTCCCCCCTGCCACACAACGGCTCCGTGGCCACCGAGCTGGTGCCGCGATCAGCCAGGCCTGGCTACCTGGTGGGCACAGTGTCGGCGGTGGATGCGGATGCGGGGCTGAACTCTCGCCTCTCCTACCAGCTCCTCCAGGCCACTGACTTCACCCTCTTCAGCGTGGCACCAGACACGGGCGAGCTGCGCACCCTCCGCTCCTTCCTGGAGCAGGACTCAACCCGGCAGCAGCTGGTGGTGCAGGTGAGGGACGGTGGGCAGCCAGCCCTCTCTGCCACCGTGTCCCTCCTGCTTTCCGTGGTGGAGACCATGCCTCAGACTCTCTCCGACTTCAGCGAGTTCAGTCTCCCCCCAGAGGTCTCCTCATCCTCCCCACTCACCCTCTACCTCCTTGTCTCCCTGGGCTCCATCTCCTTCACCTTCCTCCTCGCCATCCTCATCCTCACAGCCATTCGCTGCCGCCGTGGAGAGCGGCGTTCCCGCCAAGGTGACAGCTGCTCCCCGCCCCGCTGCCACTGCTGCCCTGGGTCCAGACCCTCCTCTGATGGCCTGAAGACTTCCAACCTGACGGCACAGCCCCCCGCAGGGACCGCGGCTGCCACCTGCCTTGACGTGCCTGCAGGCGGCCCCCCGGGCTACTGCTACAAGGTCTGCCTTGGTCCCGAGTCTGCTCAGAGCGACTTCATGTTCCTCAAACCCTGCAGCCCCCCACGGAACAACGAGAAGGATCCTGGGAAGCGGTCCCGGCCAGACCAGCATCTCCAGGTCTCCAAGGAGGTAACACCGTGCCCGGTGGTGCTTACCGGTGCTCCGCGGGTCCCCCCAACCCCCTCCCTCAGCCTCTGCCACGGGAGAAACCAGGCACGGCTTCTCCCAGAGAATAACCGGAGCCTTTGATCAGTGCGGGAATTAGGAGCCGTCAGGCAGCGGGAACTCCACCGAGCTTCCCGATGGGTCTAATTACCGGGGGAGCGTCAGGCTCGGCTGAGGCGAGAGGAAATCCCTTCCCACCGCCTTTTGTACCCATTAGAGGCAACAGAGATGCTCCGGTGCCCCGGGGGAGGTGGGAAGGTGGGGGTGGCTTCTCCTCCGTGTGGGTGAGCAATTCACACTGGGACAGCCTGAGCTCCAGCGCTGCTCGGCTTTCCCCGGGGAGGATCCGCAGTGTCCCGCGGCTGCACCCGGGGCTGGTCCCTGTCCCGCCGGCACTGCTCCTGTCCCAGGCCTGGCCGCTGTTCCGGGCTGTGCCAGCGGGCAGGGAGGGAGTGGGGGTCTTGGGGGTGGGATTTTGATGTCAACATTTGTTAGGTATTGAAATGAGGAATGTCTAATTTTCCCGGTGAAAGACTCTTTCCGAAACACGATTACAAGGATGGAGAGTGATGAGGCGTCTAATCCACTTATGTCTGAGTTTTAATAAACCAGCCCTTCCGAGGAGAGCCCAAGACTCTCTGCCAAGAGTTTCTCTCCACATGTCCCCTTGCACTCCTGGACTGTCTTCCTTTAATGGGATTTTCCCCTAGTTTTTGCAATCCTCCTGGGACATCAGGTGTGCAGCCAATTTCTGCACCTCTCACCATTTGGTGCCTCAGACCTGGGCTAAGTCACCATTGCACCTGCAAAACAGGGATTTTAAAGACTAACAGGAGTAGGAAAATACCCTGTCCCTCCCCAGAAGGACAGACTTAAACCTCACACAGTCAAAGAGCAAGCCTCAAACAACCCTGATGTCTCAGGAGGTCCAGAAGGGAAAAGGCTGGTTCAACGCTGCCTCAGTTTCCCAAAAATAGGAAAGTGCTGCTTGGATCTCCACAAAGGGCATGGGGAAAGAGGAGATGGGGTCCTGCATCCCTGGCTGCTGAAGCCTTGTGCTGGTAGGGCTGGTCTGGTCTGACTGACAGAGGGGCCCAGGGTTGACTGACAGAGAGTCCCAGTAACCAGCCTTGCCCTTCTCTGTGTTTTCCAGGTCAAGCAGCCCAACACAGACTGGCTGCCTCCAAGCACTCAGCGACCTACCCTGAAAAGGTACCAAATCCAGCACTGTGGGAACAGAGGGAGCAGGTGGAAGGGGGATGTGGGGATAGGGAGGTTGTCTCCAATACAACTTTGAACAAACCTCTTCTCTTTAGCTCCCAGAGCCTGGAAGACGTGGGGGAAATCCGCAGAGCCCTCCAGAAGGAGCACGAGAGGCTGTGCACACTGGTGACTCCTGTCTCTGGTTAGTACTGGGGCACTGGGGCTGGGAGGACCAGACCCTCTGATTGCTTGTTAGAGGTGCAGTGGGGGGGGTGTCACATCCCTGTTCCTGGAAATGGTAGAGTTTTGTGGGCTGGAAGGGATGTCCAGGCTCTGGGAGGGAGGTTGTTGACACAGGACTTGCATCCTGGGACATGGATGTGACTGTCCCATTGAGCTGTGGATGTGACCTCCCTGAGCCAGTCTTACACTCATCTTTCCTCCAGAGTTTCAGAAGGCTTCTGCAGGCCCCAACAGCGTCTGGACCCCCCAGTACAACCCCTTGTACCCAGGGCACATCCCAGCCCTGGATTATCAGCACAACGTCTACATCCCTGGCACCCCCACTCTGCTTTCCAGCAAGGATGGGCCCCTCTTCCCAGGCAGGGAGAACAAGAACAGCTTCTCCACCTTTGGCAAGAGGAAGAAGATGACGACTTACTGTGACATGCATGACAGTGTGGTTATCAACAATGACCTGAAATAGCCTGGATGGCTCTATCCTGGGAATCTGTCACATCATTTCAGCTGCCAGGTCCACCCTCAGCACACAGTTCCATGTATGGACCACTCAGGATTCTGCAGGGCTGCTGGGAAAGTGGCTCACCAGAGCATGGGGAAAGGATTTAAGGAGCAAGAGACTGAAAATTATAGGGACTGGGGGGGGTGGGCAGCAGGGGACATTTTTCCCATCTCATCCTGTAGAGCTGTGTTGGCAGCAGGTGCTGTTTGGGGTCCATATGACCAGATTTAAGCAAATCTGCCTTGAGTTTACCCATTCCCATGTCCCCTTAGGGACTGTCCATCTCTGTAAACATTGTCACTTTGTCTTGTCTGGCTGTGTGAATGTACTGAGCTGCATGCCTGTATCTCTGTCCCAGTAGGCATGGAAAGTGTATGCAGACCAAGCCTGGTTCAGCCAAGCCTGACCCCACGCACTGGGGCAGTGACCATTGCTCTGTCCCTGAGATCCAGTGGGATGTGTTGCATGTCCAGAGCAGCCATTGGTGTCGGTCTTCTCTGGGAAGTGAGTGCAAACCCCAGCCTTTATGGGTGCTTCCCTTCAAACTCTGACCCAAACACTTGCAGGACTGGAGACCCAAAGTCCAGGACACAACCAGAGTCCAGGACAGAGCCAGCCTTTGTTCTGGGAACAGCATGGGCACACAGGGATTGGGTGGCCAGAGGAACTTAAGCAGGTGAGAGATGCACACTGCTGGACAACTCTCTAGCCCAAGGTAACATCACCTGAACGAAAAACAGTTTCCAGCCACTGGAGTGGCCCCAGCACAGGTGACCATCCTCTTCCCTCCTCCTTGCACCCTCACTTGGATCTCTGTTTTCCCCAAGTCTTGAACGCCCGGAGGAGCCCCCGCACTGGGGACCCTTCCTGCCTTGGACAGCCCTCTCCCACTGCGCCCTGCTTCTCTTTGAGGACTTTTAGCTGGCTGTCAGGGGCCCTCAAGGGCAGGACTCCAGCCCCAGAACAGTCTCTTCCCTGCCTTGCTCTCCCTGCACCTGTCCACCCAGTCTGTCTGTCACCATTGCCAATCGCTCCGGTCACGGGACAGTTCATTTCCAATCCATCTGTGCAGAACATGACAGCTCTTTCTAAACTGAGTTTGTTTCATGATGTCTGATTTGTACCAATAAATTGTATTTTAATAGCTCACCCTGGCTCCTGGCTGTCCCTGAACTGCACGTGACAGCAGGGATGGCTGTGCAGCCCTTGGAGCAGCGCTCCCAGCTCCAGGAGATACGTGTGGCCCTCTGGCCTCCTGAGTTCTGGACCAGCATTTTATTCATTTATGCCAAAAGCTCATTTTATTCACTTCCCCTGGATTCTGGGGGCTCAAGGCTGCCTTCCCTCCTCCCAGGCATTCAGGAGTACTTTGGGGTCATGGCTGGAAGGAGATGGAATTGTCACACAGCCCCTTGCTCCGTGCTCCAGCTTGGGCAGAGAGGGGTTTGCACCAAGGCATGAGCATACAGGGCTTTGAGCTGCCTGGGAGAGGGGCTGGATCTGGCACTGTTGTCTCATTGCTATTATTCTGCTTTCTCTGCTTCATTTAAGCTTTGCCCTGGATGCTCACCCCACACCAGCTTGCCTCAGGAGCCAGAGATAACCTGGATGTGTGCCAGGCGTAGGGACCAGCTCCCTGGGGATAGGCAGGCCTGTGTCTGGTGGTGGGATTACTCTGGGCTTGATGTGGGAAGCAGTTCACCCTTGGATGAAGTCCTGAGGTGGCCACTCCATGACTGTCCTTCTCTTACCCCCTCCTTGCTCAAGGGCTTGGGGAGGCTGCAATGCGGCTTTTGGGATTAACCCAGAAAAGTCCTTGTCTACAAGTGGCCAACTTGCTCCTCAGTGGAAGTGGGGGGCAGGAAGCACTCAAAGGGGCCCTGTGGGAGTCAGGGACCCAGGAGGACAGTGCTTTGGACATGAAAGGGACCTGACTGCTGCTGGTGACTTCAGTCCCAGCTCACATCTGCCTGACTGCGGGTGGATGAAATATTCCCTGTCCCAATTAGACGGTAGGATGAAGGATTTTATGCTGCCAAGTGCATTCTTCAAGGGTCTCTAGAGAGTGCTAAGGGTAAAAAAGAACCCCAAACAGCCACTGCCTGAGACCTCTGTACAGCATTAGCCTGTTCCACTGCTTCAAAAGAACAAGGGAATTATGTAAAGTGATACAATAAGATTAATAACAGCCTCAAGAAGTAATAAAAGCATCAAATGGACCTGACTCCCTGCGGGGCAGAGAGCATCTCCCCCTCTCCCCGGATTAGCTCTGGCAGTATCTTCCCTGCATTTGTAGGTGGTGCTGGTCAGGCACTGGGAGAGGACTGCAGCCCCTCTGCAGTGAGCTCGTGGGGGCTCAGCCACAGCCCCTCTGCAGCAGGGCCAAGGCATTTGCTGTGTTCCAGCTCACAGAGCAAAAGCACCCAGCACACCCAGTGCCTCATGGCATCCAGGATCAAAACAAACTCATGGAGACAGTGTTTTGTGCCAGGTTCCCAAGTGTGGCTTCCCAAAGGGAAATGGAGCTCAGAACTGACCCCCCAAACCACAGGCATTTGAAAGTGACACTTTGCATCTCTGTTTTTGGAAAATCATGGGGTTGAACAAGCAAAGGGACAGGTTTTGCCACCTCCCTGTGCGTGTGTCACTCTCCAGAGTATTTTCTTGGCTTTTTTTAACCCCCACTACCAAGCTTCAACTGTAAATTGCCTCTCCCTCCTCTCCATTACTCCTGACCATCCTCTCAGCCCATGGGATGAGCTGGATACACACACACACACACATCTGTGCCTCTTGCTGACCCCCAGGTCTGCATATTCAGGTCAGGTCTCTTCCAAAAGGGATTTGAGCTGAACAGTGCCCAGCTCAGGCCCCAACACCCCACATTTCCTGAGGATCCCCTTTTGCTTAGTTGAAGGAAAACCTGCACTGACAAGAGCTCAGTTTCAATCTTTCATTTCAATCACCATATTGACAAAAAGGACAATAAAAAGGGACTTGCTTCAGGGGAGAGAGCACTTGCATAAATCTAATTCAACCACACTACTATCCCTCTTCAAAGGGCATGTCTGGTCAGAATCGTCCATCTAATAGATGAGATCTCCTTTGAAGATCTCCCACGGGGACAGGGTCTCATTAAAAATGCAAGGTCTTTGCCCTACAACTAGTTATTTTTACAACTCTCCTTGTGCTTACACTCCTGCACAGCTGATGAGCATTAGCTGGTTTCTGGAGCCTGGTAATGCACTGGGCACGAGAGCCCCTTTGGAGATCTGCACAGCAGAACGCTCGCTGTATACCCCTCTCATACATTCCAGCTCTCTCGGAGATCCAGAGGCAAATTTGGCTTTCAGGGGCCTGCCAGCCAGCTTGAGATTTGCTTCTAGGACAGCGGGAAAGCTGCCATGTGGTGCAGTTGGCTGCAAAATGCTTCAGGCCATGGGAGGCAGGCACACAGTGCTTCTGGGCACCAGCACAAAACTTGCTGCTGCTGAATAGGCTGCTTGGATGGAAACGTTACTTATATCTCTGTAATGGCTTGAAAATGGATCCCAAAGAGACAAAATGAATCCAGAGGTAGAGAGAAAAGAGGCCAGAGGGAAAGAACCAGAGAGGCTGATGCTCAGCTCTACTCCTGTCTGCCA